GATGAAAATTACAGGCTTCTCTCATCTTTTTAAGTGGGAGAACTTGCACAATTGGTGGCTGACTAAATACTTTTTTGCCCCACTGTGTGATATAAGAACCTGTAATCTGAACCCCAACATTTTGATACATTCATTAAATAGCTATTGTAACTATATGGAAGTAGCTATTTTAACTACAAACAGTCCTTGTTTAGCAACCACCTTGTACAGCAACCGTTCGCAGTTACGACGGTGACTTTGCAACCAGTCCTTTGCAGGTCTATAAAACAAAGGAAAGCTGAAGTAAGTACAGTCACGGTTTTCACATAGCAGCTGCTTCGTCTAACAACTGAGTTGCCGGCCCCAATTGTGGTCGCTAAACGAGAACTACTTGTATATGGAAGTTATACAACATCTTAAGTATTTAGAGGCTCTAGACTGCATATAAAAGACATATGAAGGCCAATTTGACACTGTGCTTGGTGCCGGGAGACCCTGAGTTCTAGTTCTTTCTTAGGCACAGAAGCCAGCTGGGCTAACGTAGGGCTAGTCACTCTCTCTTAACCCAACCCACCTCACAGGGTTGTTGTTCTGAGGAAAATAGGAACTGGGAGCATTATATGTTGCCTTTAATTATACAAAATAAAAGGCAGATATAAATCAAATAAATATAATATAAATTTGGCTCTTTGTTTATGGGGACAATTAAAAGTAAAATTAAAATAACTGAGTGGTTAAAGTTCTGATACTACAACTAAAAGAATTACCAGGAACTACTATGCTTCTAAGTCTTACTCACAACTGTTTCTCTAATCTTTAACCTGTAGCACAGGAGCAATCAACAAGACCTATGTACTTTTAATTTATTTTTCCCTTTGGGCCTGTGCCATTAGCAAGACTAGGGTTCTGTAAGTGGGAAGTTAGAGCTTCCCAGTACTTCTGCTTTGTCCTCATCTACATTAGGTAACAGCTAAAACAAAGATTTTTAGCAGTTCAGCCCACCTAATATCAGTTCCAGAAGCAACTAGAGCAGAGCAAGTAGGAAGGAGCCAATATTCCTATTGATATCACAGACTTACCTGAGGGGTAAAAGTAAATATTTGGTTTCTTATGACATATAGTTTGGATGTTCCCAGGACACCAATATGCCGGTGAGGTCTCCCACTCAGCTTCATGATCTTGTTACGCCCTAAATGAAGCAAAACAAAAAATACTCAAAGCTAACATTTGGTATCTACTTGTATACTGTTACGCAACTCAAACTAAGCTGCATTTCTATATCTTGGTACTCCAAGTGGGTTTGACTGTATCCTTCACAGCTGATAATGTATTAAAAAAAGATGGTTGCTCAACCATAATTCAATTGTGCTTTACTTTACAAGTTATAGTCACTTGGTTCACACATAAACCTAAGCCAAAAGCTACAACAGTGTTTCTCAACCTTGGCAACTTTAAGATGGCATGCTGGCTAGGGAATTCTGGAAGTTGAAGTCCACACATCTTAAATTGCTACGGTTGAGAAATACTGAGCTATAATTTCCCTAATTCGCTCAATATTGTCAAGTATAATGAACACTGCCATTAGAGATTACATAGTATTGAATAGGTATCATAATATATAATTATGAGAATACAGTATAGTATAAAAGCACCTGGGGTACAGTTCAACCCCTAATGCGGTTTTCTTTACAACAGTACAGAAGTGTTTGTCCAGCCCAGCCTACATCCCTCGAATTTCCTAGTAGTCTCCCCTGCAATTGTTAATCAGTCCAACCATTCATCCTTTTTCTTCAAAATCAGCCAAGGTTGCATAAGTGCTGCCCCCTGCCAGGGGACTGGAGATGGAATTACATTTCCTAATTCAAAAAGGGCTCTTCCAATACAGCTGTTAACTTCCAGCCAATATGGGGGAAAACAGCCAATTTTTTGCAAGGGGTAAGAGATTAAGACAACCCAGTTGCACCTTAGCCCCTTTCCAATCCTGAAAAGAAACCAGGCTGACAATGTTGTCCCTATGCATTCCAAGGGTGCCCTGGGGACCACAAAAGGGGTGCCTGACATCTACCCTATAGGTTGCTCACAGCGGCAGCCACCTGAATAGCTATTTTTGTCAGAATGATAAAGCAATATCAGGGTATTGCGCCAGAAGAGACATCGCAATGTCTAGAAAAGAGGTGGGGCTTGTATTGCAATGCCGCTCTGCTTCTTTTGTCATTTGGATACCGGTTTGCCTCCCTCCCCCCATTGATGCAAAATCAAAATCAGACAAACCATACCACAGCTTAGCAGGATGGGTGAACCCTGCTTTTTGTAACAATACAAAAGAAATGTGAGGTTACAATTGGGTTTTGAAGCCTAAAAACATGTAATTGCACTACTTATATCAAAACCTGCAATTTATATACCAAGGACTGACTGCCAGTACAGTTATTCTTTAAATAGAATACTGAAAAACAATCACATTCTCTATTTAAAATGTCACCGTGGGGCAATGCTGGAAAAGTCAAGAAAGTTTTCTCAGCTGCTTTTTTACAGCACCTACCAAGCTTGGCATAAAGATTACTCAGAATCCGAGCTGGCTGCACTCTGGTGGGACTTAGGTCAGCAATGCTTTGCACGTTAATTCCATGATGCCGTAAGAGTTTCTTAATTTCATTTGTTTCTGCTAGAACGTTCACTATTCAGAAAGCAAAACAAGGAACCACAGTCAAGGACAGCAATGACGTTATTTTTCCATGAATATAGCATAATCAAAGAGGATCTTTGGGGGAAAAAAATAAGGCTTTTTGTCACTGGACCAGTGTTTGATTAGTTCAGATAAGTAAGTGGAGATGACTACCTGTTCTACTGATACTGATACTTTACTAGGTTTGTGCTAAGTATTCCAAATGGTCTTATTATAAAGCATGTAAGCACAGGGACAGCACCCCTTCTCAGCATGTTAGCTGCTATAAAGATTGTCTCTGGTTCTTTACATGTGCATGTGTGTACACAGAGAACATCTCTACTAACGCAGCCAGCAACATAAAGAGGTTGTCCATGCAGACACCTGCAGGCCCAGACAGCCAGGGATAGCCTTTTGAAGCAGCTGTGTAAGCCTCCAAGAATTCAGTTGCTTTAATGTAACCAGGAGAGGTGCTTCACAAAGCGTCCCTTTCAAATGTTTTGCACGATCCTATACCTCACCTTTTCCAAAAGTTTGGAATACATGGTAATTAAAAACAATGAAATAGGGCTATCTGCTGAAGTGGTCTTAAAAAATCCAGATGGCAGTTGCCATTGCACAACTGAAGTCCTGTTCCTTTTGTATTTGTATCGGCCCTGCACGCATATACAAAGGGGAAGAGCTGTGACTGAGTGGTTGCGACTATCATCTTGGCCCTATACCCTGACTCTGCTGGGCATTAAAGCAGCCTGAATTTTTTTCAGGCTTTGTACAAGCCTGAAAACAAGCTGTTGCTGTTGCTATAAGGAATTCATTCATTAAAACTACAGTAACTTTTAAAGTAGCAGCACCTTCTTTTAATCCCATGAATAAGCCTAAAAAGATCAGCCTACTTTAATGAACAGCAGCTTATACAAGGTCTGAAGCACTTTTTCTGAACCCTTCCGAAGTCCTTTATACCCAAAATAGTTACAACTAATGGCATCTTTTATCAGAATTACACCTATCTTTGTCCTTATTCTCTGCAGCTTCAATCCAGAATTCTTACAACGTCAGTAAAGCAGAGGCATGGTACAAAAAGCCTTCTAAATATTTTTCTCCAATATCTAAAAAAAGATTTAGATAATAAGGCACTTCTGAACAACTTAGGTCCAACTAGAATTCTAAGTACTATTAATGACTATGGGCGATTGCCACAGGTATGGCTTTGCTGACTCAGAGATTTGGGAAGGAACAACACAACATGATTGAGTTTCATAATTAGTACTAAGAAACTGCTCAGACCCCAACTTAATTTAATAATCAGTAATGTGTTTCAATCTTTATTTCTGCTGATCTCTTAAACTACTATTTGAGCTACAGTGAAGTGATTCTTGGAACAAGGGGACATAAAACTGCTAAAATTATGTTTAAAACCATGATTAAAGTAGGTTGACCATGACTGTTCAAGAATATCTCTTTGATTTGATAAAAATGGATTTCCTTACAAATATAGTTTAATTCAATGCTATAGTTTAGGGAATATATTTCTTGTGGAAGGATCCCACATTTCTCTTTCTATATTTTTTTCCCAGTAGAGCGATAGAAATTGTGATGGCATCCAAGCTGCTGACCCAGGCTTCTCTGCTTCCTTGCTTCAATGTCAAAGGCAGTTTAGATTGCATAACACAATAAGCACATGCAGAAATCTGACACCATTCCAAATAATGGAGATGATCTTTTACGCTATTCAGAAATGCTATGAAATATCTACTAAAAGCGATGGTAAAGAACTCAACTTGTGGATGCCATGAGGAATCAGTAGATACAGGGAATGTGATAATTAGAAAAGTCTAATTATCACACAGTGAGATAGTTGAATTACAGCAGCACTCGTCATTTCCTGCTACTGCAAGGCAGCAACCACCTGAGACTTAGTGATATGTCTCACTAGCTGCCACTACCCTTCTGTACATCTGTTAGAACTCCTCATAGGTGGAAGTGACAGCCTATTATTATTTTTATTTCATTTCTCTCTCCACCTTTCTCTAACATTTACAGAGTTAAAAATCTCACATGACTAATCACCAACCTTGAACAACCACATCAGGCTTGAAAGCTGTCGAAAACCTTCTGTTTAACGGATCAATTTCACCCGTAGCCAAAAATCCCTAGAAAGGAAGAAAGAAAGAAAAGAGGTAGATTTCACTGATGATAATCGTATTCCTTAGCAACTAGCATGGGAATTTCAGAAATATATAAATTCAGTAGGGACTAGATCAGGTGTCCAGTAAACCACATACAGCCCTCAACTTAATGGGATGAGGCCCTTGGTCTGTTTTCAAAAGCCGTCAACAAGCAATTCCAACCTCTAGAAATATCCTAATCTGCTGATTGCAGAAGGAGCCTCTGCAATGGGAAGTGCAAAGGGGGGCAAAATGGCAGATATGAACATTCTATACACGCACAAACGGCTTCAATCTGTGATTGTGTCTGCCATTTTGTCCCACTTGCAGACACACCTAAGGAGAGATAAGGACAAAAAGGAAAAAAGTGTTGGAAAAGAGATAGATTGAGAAGGAGTATTAAGGAAAAAAACAGATTGTCACAAATTGTGTAAAAGAGGACCCACCTCTGCTAGGAGGGCAGAAAGAATATATAATGACTGGCCCCAAAGATGAGGAAGTTTCCCTGCTGGAACACGGTCCACTGTGTGAGGATTTTCATACTCTTCGCTGACCTGGAAAACCAAACAGTGAATGAGTACTGCTTCATGTATCTTTATTCACAGCTTGTAGATGCTCAGGGAATAAAATCTAAAAAGAGTCTTTCACTTTTAGCAAAAGTTTACAAGTAATCCTCGCTTAACAACCACAATTGGGACCGGAATTTAGGTCGCTAAGCAATGCAGTCATTAAGTGAATCATCACATGACTGGACCTGATTTCATTACTTTTGTGGCAGCTGTCAAGTGAATCACCGCAGTCATTAAGCGAATCACGTGGTCATTAAGCAAATCACATGGTTCCCCATTGATTTTGCTTGCCAGAAGCTGGCTAAGAAGGTTGCAAATGGCAATCACGTGACCCTGGGACACTGCAACCGTTGTAAGTATGAGCTGGTTGCTAAGCGCCCAGATCGCAATCACATGACCGTGGTGGTACTGCAATGGTCATAACTTCAGGCATCAGTCACCTTTTTAGTGCTGGTGTAACTTAGAACAGTCACTAAATGAATGGTCGTTAAGTGAGGACTACCTGTATTTGGTAATTGTAAACAGGTTTTAGATTGGACAAGTATTTTTTAAACATTCTTCTAAATTATAATCTTCGCTTGCTATAAATGAACAAATAAACAAAATGTAAAAGTTAATTAGTATAAAGTATAAAATATACTAGCCTATCTATGGAAATTTTAGTCTATCCACAGATTTAATCTTTTTTTTTCAACGTCATAGACAGCATATGATATTCCCAGGTTTCCCTTTGCTAATCTAAAGTTCACTCCTATATTTAGTTAACACATTCCTTTTCTATTTTTCCAATGCTATGAGGTAAGTTAGGCTGAGACAGAGTGACTAGCTCAAAGTCACCAGGCAAGCTTCTGTGGCTGGAGCTGAGCTAGAAGTGTCCAAAGTGTTATTTAATGTATTAAGCAGGAGTTAGGAAATCTATGCTAGTTCTGAAAAGAATACCTGCTCCTTTACCTGACCTCACTATCTTAGCTCATGGGCCTGAATCTTTCCCTTTCCATTATATGGTGCTGAATGCTCTTCCTAAACATAATTTTCTCCTACCAAGCTCATATCCGGTAGGGGAGAAGAAACACTTATTTTGAGGGCAAAATTATTTGAAGTCGCATACTACAGTGGGGTTTCATCCCCACAGAAGTTCACTAGGTAACTTTGGGCCAGATTTGTAGAGAGATTGTATATAAAATAATCTATTTACAAATTAGTGAAGCACCCATTACGTCAGAAGCAGATTCTTTACAAGTTAAGGCAGTTCAGTATGAAGACCTTATCTGGAGGAACTGCATACAGTTCTGGCATCAGAAGAATTCCGTTCTTTTTTCTAATAAGGATCCCTTCCAAGGCTTCTCTGTATTCCTGCACCTGGGAAATACAAAAGAAGCCTTTACAGTACAGGTTCCTATTTCTAGGAGACAAAAGGGAAACAAAGTGAACAAAAGGAAAACAAAATGGTGAGCTGGGCAGCCATATACATCCAAGAAAGAAAGAAAGAAAGAAAGAAAGAAAGAAAGAAAGAAAGGTGTTCGAATAAAAGGGAAAAAAGCTAAACAGTGCGGAAACAACTGCAGAAACAACTTATTCTCCTGAACAAATTCTAGTAGCGAGAATGCTGACCTGTTGGTTGTCAAAGAAGATTGCTTTGCTTTTGTAGGCCCTCACCAACGTTGAACCAGAGAACAAATTTAAGGTAGCACAGGGCCTGGCTCTGCAACAAAGCCAGGTACAAAGCAAACTGCACAATTTCAGAATAAGAAGAAAGTGACATTTAATGCCTGCTGCATTTAGAAACTCAGGGCAATAGCTGAAGTTGAGGTTTCTGCTGCCTAACGTGTTAAGATTTTTTTCACTTGCAGGGGATTTCTCTTGTTGTTGTTTTTTTTACATGAAAACAGATTCAAAAATTAGACCACCCACCCATCATCTCTTTTCCAGCATTTAGAGACTAGGCCTGGCCCCACTGCTTTCAATAACTGAAGAGCCTGATGTTAACACTTTTTAACAGTCCAAAGGATTGGTCTGAAAGCTCCCAAAACATATTGCTACTTGATTTGCACCCCTTTCCTAAACTACACACTCAGTTTAGCTCAAGGTTTGTGCAGCCTCAATATTCCACTTAAAGCCATGAGGCCAAAGATGCTGATAGCAAACAAGCCGCACTCCTATAATGAAACTGTAGTGAAACTGGCACCTTTATGCACTAGAAGGGGGCTGACAGGCAGATCCAGTGGCAGAGCGCTTGCAAAGAGGAATCAAGCTGGGTAGAAATGGTATGTGTGTGTGCACTTAGAGCCCATCCTTCCACTACCCCTTCATCCAACAAAGTTCTGGCAGCAATACCAAATACTAAAGTTGATCCAAAATGTATTATTTTACCTACCTGAATTCTGTCCTCATTGAACACTCCATCAATTAGAAAATACGTCCAGAATACAGGCCATTCACATTCTATGTTCTCAAATAACTTGAGCTCAGCAGGATCATAATGTAATCTGTTTGGATCCTAGGAATACATTAATTGCATAGTTTATTGTTACCATTTCACATTATTGCAGAAAATATGCTGCTGCTATCATATTAATATCCTATTGATCTCAAAGGTCCCAAGGAGTTTTGCCTGATGACATTTTCACCAGATTTTCTATGTAAAGTAACCAAGCTTTTTAAGAACACCAAGAAACTGAGAATTCTGGAGGCCTAGTCATCCATCTTTCTACTTCCAAGAAAAAGTTTGGAAAGAGAAAGAATAATGTGCATAAAGAGAGAAAGAATAATCCCACAAGTGAATGGTGTCAATAGGACAGATTTGATTTCTAGGATCATGGTCTCAACTATCAGATGATTGTCAGCTGGCATAGAATAGGCTGCATCTTATAAGGAACAGTAAAAACATCTTCCACAGTGCACACGTTCAATTTAATCTTCTGGGGACTGGAGATAAAAACCCTGCAATGAATACTTCCCTTTAGAAGGAAGTGAGAGTGCTGCTGTGTGGAATCTATTCAGCAGCGCTTTAAGTTAATGGCTACTGTTTATATCCTAGCACTCAGAGGATAGGAAATAAACAGGATGAACAGGATAAACAGGATGAATCCAAAATAACAGGAAGAGAAAAGAATCAGTATACCTGTTGTTCACAAAGAATATAAATGATCAGGGAGCTAGATACTAGGAAGAGATTGAAGGAACTGGCAATGTTTAGCTTTGAGAAGAAAAGGCTGAAGGGAAGATATGACAGAATTCCTCAAATATCTAAAAGAGTGTTACACAGAAGGTCAAGACCTGTTTTCAGAGGAGTGGCAGCTAACTGTGACCATCTCAAAATGATAAAGCGTGCATTGTGACATTGTAATGCACGTACTTGTGTTGCAATGTCTCATGCAAATGTGCCAGGGGTGGAGTTTCCATTGCAACATTGTGATGTATTTTTTGTCACTTGCCACCATGCCTGTTTCCTATTGCTCTGAAGTGCAAGACAGAGAATAACAGCTTTAAGTTAGAGGTAGGCAGGTTCTGAATCAATGTTAAAAAACATCCCTAACAATAACAGCTCTTTTACTGTTTACCCAGAGAGTGGCTTCCATTCTCCAGATGTGTTCAAGAGAAGGCTAGGCAGCCATTCCTCGTGGATGCCTCGGTTTGAATGATTTCACTGAGAAGGGGAAAGCACGCAGAAGCCTCAGTTGCTCCTTCTGTTCTGTCATTCTAATATTATCCTCATCTCTCTCCCCTTCCCCTTTGCTAAAGCTGCTCTTAATTCCTGGAAGCAAGTCTGGATGGCTAAGGGCAGAGCTCTGGGGGAGCCAGAAAATCTTCTTCAGGAACACTGGAGGAATGGAAATGATAATTCTGCACTGTTGATTATGATCAGGCACACACAGTAGTTATAGATATTTTAAAAGCTAGATATGCTAAATACCATGATGTAATTTACATCTTTGTCTAGATGCCATTTAGCATCAGTCTATCATAGTATGAATATGAATTAGTTTTAATTAAATTAGTGAGACTGAGTGGCTCAAACATTTCATGCTTAAATTCTCCATGCTTTTCCCATATTAAATCCCTAAATATATTTAGTTATTTAACATTTTCATACCAACTTCTCACAAGACTCAGGGTAGTGTATATAGCATAAAATAAACAATTAAAACCATTAACTCCGCCTCATAAAACTGACTAAAATTATTCATTAAAAATCATTGCTAGGTGTCAAATGCCATCTTAAAAGGTATGATTTTCAAAGCCTTGTAGGGGCCAAACATATCTCAGGGGACAACTTTGGGACATTTAGCAGGTCTTCTCTAGATGTTCATGAAGGATAGGCAGAACCATATTAGATAGGGCAGTCCCTTAAAATTCAATTTTTAGGAGCAGTTTTGTCTTAACCAAATCTTTGAGTAATTACTCATGTTTCTATAAATATCCCATGGCTATTAAACCTACACAAGAGCAATATGAAGCAACAGAAAATGCTTGGTATTTCAAAAATAAGAATTAATTTATAATGAGACCATTGCAAGGCACTCCAAACTGATTCTCTCCAAGGGTTTTGGGACTATTTTCCAAGTCAGACAATGGTCATACTGAATGGGAGTGCACCATGTTGAGCTAGGTTGGTTTAAACTACATCAGTACAAAACAGGCTGGAAAGAATGGTGTAGGCAGACAAATTCAAAGCACCCAGGATCCAACCAAAAATGCAATGAAATCAGAGGGCAAAAGCTGTTGGTTTTCAACTGGGATTTTTAAAAAAATTGTTTTAGTTTGGCTATGCAAACATAGACTTGCTTGCATAACAAGTTACATTCTTTTTAAATGTAGTAATAGATTTCCCAAATTATGAACCTAGCATTTCAGGAGAATGTAAAATAATTAGGACCAATTTGATTGTGATCCATTTGAAGTATAATATTGCTTGTAAACTCCTCTTCAGTCTACCATCAGTTATTATTATCGATATACAAGGCAGTTTGCCAAGCTGTATCTACCTCTCCCAGAGTATTAACCAGCAATATCATTCTACTGTCAATAAAAAATACTTGGACGTAGGAAAGAATGTTATTATAAATCAATATTCACATGGGTTGTGGAATAAGCTGAACCTGATGCAGGAATGAATCTCAATTATGCAACAGTAATTTGTATACCAAGAGAATTAAGATTTCTTATTTGGGCTTCATCAACCAGAATTAAGAATTCATATATTCAATACATTTCAGCACAGAGCAGCAGAACTCTGCTGTATTGGAATTTCTGACATGGAGGGCAAAGACTACAGAAACACATGAAAAAATATTGGAAATAAATTGTAATCTACTATTTACAGCAGTGACTATTTAGCGTCATGGCACTCTGAACAGTTCTGGACTTTTTCTGATTTTACTGTGCAACTGGCAATTTCTCAATATCTGTCCTTCGTTGCTTGAGTAAGAAGCCAAACTCCAGCTGTGACCCACCTGTTCCACCAAGAAGAACTCTCCCCAGAAACCTAAATTTCATTCAGTCCTAGTTGCAGTAGTCCTGAACAACACAAATACCAGCAGTGGCACTGAAATGTTAAAATGTGATTCCTTGTCTCTATTTATTTGACCCTGCTTATTTGTTGCTAAATGTCATAATGTATAAATCTGTACTAATATCTGTATAATATTCTGATGTTTAACGTTTATTCTGACGCTAGGCACAGTCCATGTAAAATTGACATATATTTTTGTTATTTATAAAACTGTAAAGCTTAGAAAGTTTCAGCAACCTAACCTCTCTTGGTGTCTTATAGCCATCTCGGAGGAAACGACAGCAGCCGTAACGCCCCTGTAAGATAGAAAGTGCTTATGATACAGGTATGATTTTATATAAACTATTATTCTTAATCATACTGAATAAACTTTATCCTTTAATAAGAGGCAAAGTTGAATATATTACTCACAAAGAAATTAATCCAAGATTTATTTTAAGCCAAAATTAAGGACGTACTTGCAACTTGGTGATAATTTCATTTTTCGTTGCATTAACAATGTTCATATCCTCTATGGCAAAAGCTGGATAAGAAATAATGGACAAAAGTCCAGCATCAATCTCTTTTGATGTGGATGCCCTCGGTAACATGGAGTACAGAATAGACTGAGCAGAACATACATAAGCGCCATTGAAAAACAAGACAAAACAAAGATAAAACAAGAATCATTAGTTTCATTCCCAAGTATGTTATCAGATGTAAAAATAAGACTAGTTCAGATTTTAAATCATTATTAACAAGCCTGTCTCCAAGAAATTAACTTCCAAGGAGAGGCAAATACATCCATGGCTGATCCCTCTAGCAACAGCATAAGGCCACTGTTAATCAACTGAAAACCATGAGCATTGTCAGGAACGTTATTCAATCACCAATTTGTAAATGTATGTGCTTTCCATAGCTGAAAACAACAACTGGCAATAGATCTTGGAGATGGATTATATAAAACTGATTATTAATTAATCATTCAGGTCATTCACCAAATGCTGTTTTCAGCTATGGTAGGCAAAGATCAGAGAATATAAACATTTCAGAACTCATCAAAGGAAATTCATCTTTCTCTTTCTCACTCCCTCCTGACCTCATATATTTTGTTTAGTTAAGAGCTTTAAAAAGGAATGAGTACTTTGTTACAGCTTCTTGGATACCCTAATGAAAAAATAGCTAGATTTACCTGACAGTGTTCAACTTCGTCTGGGAGGACATGAATAACTGACTTATGTCCTCCTCCAGCTCCAAACAGGTCCAGCTCATCAATTGCTTCCAAAGCAGCCTTCAGAAAAACATTCATTTGTCAAGTCTCAGTACTAATAAATGAGATTTAACTCTATCAGAGTATCCCTGAGCTAGTTTGGTGTAGTGGTTAAGGCACCAGGAGACTGTGAGTTCTAGTCCCACCTTCAGCACAAAGCCAGCTGGGTGACCTGGGGCCAGTCACTCTCTCTCTAGGAAGAAGGCAAGGGCAAACCACTTCTGAAGAACCTTGCCAAGAAAAGTGCAGGGACTTGTCCAAGCAGTCACCAGGAGTCAACACTGACTCAAAGCCCCCCACCAAAAGAGAATCCCTATATATATTTATTCAAAAGTAATTCCCATTATTTCCATATAAGTGAGCATAGGGGTGCAACCAGATATTAGTCTTTAAATATTAAGGCATTGCTAAGCATTCCAAAGAAGTATTTTGCAACGAACAAGTATGAGTTTAAAGCACTTATTTTCAAATTGTTAATGCAATCAGAATGGTGACCATCAGAACCAATTTCCAAAGCAGTTGCACAAGCCTTGCAGTCAACTCAGCTGCATTAATACTTCAAAAAAGATCCTTCATTCATAGTCCTGTGCACTGTGAAACCATTTTTGAATGCTTTGTGCAGCTCTATTAAGTATTTTACAATATTTCTCTTTGTTATCCTCATCATGATTATATGGATCAGATTAACGGTTCCAAATTCCAATGAAAACCAAATTCTGATAAAAACAGGTAGATCTAGGAATGCTACTGATTTCTTCAAGGTGACTCAATTTAGTATCTTTATACCGTACCTAACACGACTTCCACTTAATGAAAATAGCAGCTTTAACAAAAGCAAGTCACTTACCAAATATATTGGCACAAGGATCCTCATTAAATTGTGCCTGGTCAGAAATATGAATTGCAATTCCTTTGGCCAGTTGCAAGAGGATCTATGGACAGGAGTAACACTAAACCTCTTGGAACTGAACCTGTAACTGAAGATGTGCAAAATCCAATTTGTTGATTTCCCTATGCCAAGTAGTTCACTTGGTCCTCATCCACTGGCTGGTTTGCACAGATTGTCTTTTATTTTACTCTCACAGCCAGAATATTAATTAAGATCCTTGTCAAATTAATAACAAATTTATCAGTTACTACAGTACTTTTGGATTGCAAGACTGGGAATGAATACTCAGAAATAAGCCTTGTTGAGTTCGAGTCAATAGGTAAAGGATTATTGTCTCTAAGTTTCAATAAATAAACAAACAAACAAACAAATTCTGTGATCCTATGTTCAGGAAAGCAATTCATTGAGTAAATCATATAGGTAGCAGTGATTGTTTCTGATCTATACATTATATATAAAAAGCAGAAATATTCTTACTTTTGCCATTCCTACAGAGCTGGCATTCAACTCAGGAATGCCCTGATTTGTCTTATCACCACGTTCCCACATGCCATAATCCTGAAACAAAAGAAAAATGAGCAAGGATGTTTTAAAAACATAGATCCAAAGATATGCATAAATTGCAATCGATTGTTGTGAACAGTGGGGAGGTGCCAACCAAGTCAATCCAAGTCATTTTATAGGTTCTAGTTCAGAATTAAATACTTGGGCATTTGCATGGGGAGCAGATGAAAAAAAATGTGTACCACAACATTATGATGCTGACTCCACTCCTTCTATATGTGCTTTGAGATATTACACAGACATACAAACGTTTTACATCGTTTTGATGAAAGCTCCAGATTTAGCAGCTGCCTCTGCGTGTACAGTACTGTGTGCTTCTGCTTAATAAATGAAGCTAATCTGATGCTTGTACATTTCCTGCTTATGAAGAACAGAACAAACTACAATTTTATACCATCATTTGAAGTTGGTTTCTGGATTAAGATTCTAACTTGTTCTGCTCCTCTTCCTCATATATTTCCTGGAAACTAACAGAAAATTATACGTAATTCACCCAATAAAAATTTTAAGCAAGAGGGGAGGCGTATACATTATTATGTGTAAGATGATATTTGTTCATATGATACAGGCCTATGAACATTCTTCTCTTAATCTGAAGTTGCCAACAAAAGGATTCTAATTTCATATGATACCTTTTGTACAAATATCTCCATTGCAACATTTTCATTAATGTGAATATTAAATGTTATGCTTTTTTCAATCCATTCTAAGGCCAGCTTGGCACCTGCGTTATTGTCTTTTAGCACAGATAAAGGGTGGTATCAGTGGAATAATACCACTAGTAGCATGACATCTGCTGGTAGAATGGATTTTTTCTCCTCTCCGACGTATCTCCTAAATGTATGCAAGAAATAGCGCATCCTCTCAAGCAGATGAAGTGGGCAAGCAGAGCTGCAGGACAGCCTGAGTGAAAGCACAATCATGTGTAATAGAATGGAGCCCAGAAACATTTATACTGTCCCAGGCTTTATAATGTATTAATGTTTTTCTTAATCAGTGCATTATTTGTTATTTTTTGTATATGATTTCATGTCTTCTGACAAATTTCCATACTAATTATATCCTTTTTATTTGTCTTAAGGATCATGAGGACAAGTAGCTCTCAACTTTTCAAATCCTTCTATTCAAGGAAGAAGAAAAATGTAAGGATTGTCTCTTTAACTTTTGTTGAGTTATATGAACAAAAATAAACTAATATCTAGAGAAGGAGAAATATCAAATAATGTTTTCTATTATTTCATTGTAGATTCAAAGCAGGAATAAAGTTGATCTATGATAAATATATAAATTAAATTCCTTTTGTGACAAGCCCTTGTTTTTATTATGGTACAACAATGTCTCTTAAAGTATCTGATATTTTATCCTGTCTTGAGGGATCTGGGTAGATGGAATTCAACTTTTGTTTTCCAAAGGAGTTTTCCCATCCCATCCTATTTACACAATGGTACAACTAGTGAAAATTAGTCTTTATAATTTCCTCAAGGGTTGATAGGAAGGTGGATTTAGATCCTAGATAATTTCTTATTTGCAGATTAAATACCCAACATCACAGATGAAGTATTGTGCAAAGAAACAGTCTCCTCAAAGATATTGGCTTCCCACATTCCATAAACCTTAGGATAAGTGCTTTGAGAAAAGAAGAAAAAGGAAAAAGGAAAAGAAAAAACAAACATAGAAGGAAGTAAAAGCAAGACAAAGGGCCTGGCTATGAACACCTGGCTCAGATTATCTCTTTTCAACCAGCCTCTCCGCAATGAACATGTGGAAAGTCAAGAGCTTATTTAAGAAAGTTATAAGGATTGGTTCAGCTAGGCTGACTACACTGATTTTATTTGGAATTCTTTGTGTTTGATTGTTGCCTTTTATTGTTTTCTCTTTATTTTCCTTTTCCTATTAACTCCTTTTTGTATCTGTAGATTTGGCTTCATTGGTTTGAGAAGGAAATTAACATTAAAACCTTTCCCACATGCAAGACTGCATAATTACACAGCTACCCCTTGTATTCCAGAATTGACACAAGGTTTGTGACATTCTGTATTTCTGGGATTTGGGCAGGAGGACCCAAAGCATGTTCCTTTCTATTTTCCTAGGGCTGGGCTGAAGAGAGATGTGTTGAGCAAAATGGCTAAGAACTCCCCAACTGGAGAGACTAGGTGGGATCAGAAGGTGACTATCACTATTATCTTTCTGCAGAACCCTTGGATGAAAGTTTCTGACAGGGAGATTTTAAATTATACATCCTCTGGATTTGGAATACCCTTGACAATACTTACAGCAACTTTATAGGCAGCTTCGATGTAAAATACAAGATTCTGTATAAAGGTCACTTCATCAAGTGTGAATATAATACGCAATCCTGATTAAGAAAGAACCACTATTAAGACATTTAGCATAAATCACATGCAATAAAATGAACTATTCATGTTTTTACTCTATTTAGTAGTTCATCATTCTTATAGGAAATTTCTCACATAAAGAAATTTAAAAGGAAGCATGGGCATAAGTGCTTTCCTTAAAATATAATCCTTTGCAAAACCAAGAAAAATAAAGGTCACTTCATCAAGTGTGAATATAATACGCAATCCTGATTAAGAAAGAACCACTATTAAGACATTTAGCATAAATCACATGCAATAAAATGAACTATTCATGTTTTTACTCTATTTAGTAGTTCATCATTCTTATAGGAAATTTCTCACATAAAGAAATTTAAAAGGAAGCATGGGCATAAGTGCTTTCCTTAAAATATAATCCTTTGCAAAACCAAGAAAAACTCATCTGTTTACAATTCATACTTAAACCCAGTTAAAATATTTCAGAAAATGATAACACGTCATCTTCATCCTTGAGAAGGTTAAGAATTTTAGACAGCTGCTAGAAGCATGAATACCAAACCGTCCACTCCTGCTTATTGAATATGGCAAAACAATTAATGATAAGTCCAATATTAAAGTTACTTATTTTTTACAGCTTACTGACTGTGACAATACTGAACTCTCCTTAAAAGCTTCCAAAAGTCACTATTATTCTGACATAGCTTACCTGATGCTGTCATCTGAGCCAGGAAGAGAAGGTAAAGGGAAGTTGCATCTACTTGTAGATGTCCCCATTTGTCATCTGCAACTACTGTTCCACAAGTGGCCGTGTTGTATTTGGCATGCAGGCAATCCTTGGTACTCTGTGTGTGCTTGAACTTTTCAACCTTATCTACCTAAGGAAAGCATGCAACATTTCAAAATCAGTTTTTGAAGCATAAACTTTCATTATCATGATTTTGTCTCAGGACCCGAATTTTGGCACAGTTTAAGCTTTAATCAACAAAACCTTCATACAATTTTGTGTGTGTGTGTGTGCCTTCAAGTCAGTTTTGACTTCTTACAACTGCCTGGACTAGTTCTTGCAGTTTTCTTGGCAAGATTTCAGAAGTGGCTTGCCATTGCCTCCTTCCTAGGGCTGAGA